GATTTCGAATGGAAATCGAATGCATGGCCAATCTAGGAAAGGAACTAATCAGTGCCGGAAGCTTTGATCTTTCATCGCTCGTCACTCGACCTGCCGTTGTAGTGAAGCGAATATTCTTACGCGATTTTTCTAGCTCCTTCCTTACTCCCGTTCACCCCACCTCCCTTTTATTCGATCCTCAAAAGAGTAAAGTTGAACTAGTTAGCAAATAACAACCACGGTTGTATCCACGATGTACTGAAAGTGGAATACAATGACGGCGGTTGAGCCCGACTAACTAGAGTCAGAGACCGGGGCGACAGAACGGTCAACGACTTCGTCAATGATCAATTCTAGCCACGCTTTTCATTCCCATTTCAAGTTGTGGCGGCGTACTAAACGCGAAATGGTCAATACAATGACGTGCGAGGGCCAGCTATTATGCAGGTGAGTTATTTTGCCTCGGCAAATCTTGTATCCAGAATGATGGATGGTTCGGTCGGCACGAGCGGTTGCCGATCCGGGATTTGAGCGGCAAGGTGAACGGCTCCCAGTTCTTCTGCACCACTTCTGCTCAAAGAATTAGATGTAGCAAAGAATTCCATGAAAAGAAGAGGGAAGAACTGAAAGAAAAGGGGAAAACTGAAAGAAAAGGCCGGTGCAAACCTGAAACCGAGGCGTTCTTCATGACGAGCGTGTATTTTTCCAACATTTGCAAGTAATGGGTCCAATGTCTGAGGGTCTTCTAAATGCTCCATAGTGCTCTCTATCACCTATAATAATCATAGCCAGATTTAGTCGTGCTGTACTATAGGACGGACGGCACCTGCATGAAACGAAGTGCATGAAAGGCGAATTCGCTGGATTTCTTCTCATCATCGGTATTATCTCTCATCATGAATGTGAACATCAGTTTGGCATCCGGCGCTTGCTCGAAAATCATCTCAAATATATCCACTGCCATTGTTTCCATGTTCCTTAAAGGTGCAGTCGACGTTGATCGTATGGGCGGGGTCAGGCCTGCAGTTATGCCTCTCCTACTGGTGGAATTATTTTCTAACGCTGTATAGAGGAAGACACTTAATAAA